CAAAACTCTTTGGGGCTGGCAAGAAATCAAGGTATTAGAAGAACTCAGGACATTTTAAGTGGAAGTATTCTTACATTTAAACAAACAGTAGCAGCATTAACAGACTTATTTTAAGTCTGTTACAGTTGTCATTAGAGGTTTAGCATTAAATGAAGCAGCCAGATTGTTATGACCACTTGTGAAAATGTGACAAATGCTCTTCCAGCAGGACTTTACTGCTTGAGCTGTTGCAATGATACAAAGTCTCCCACGGTGTCTGTAATGACATGCACCTTGAGGATAAAAAATGTAGAGAGAATGTGCTGAGCTGAAACTTCCTACATACACACAGGTTGTGCAAACGTAAATTTGCATCTCTGAAATGAGATGTCCATCTGTGACAACAGGACAATATCTGCCACTAGTGGGAGGTCTGTGGGATACGTGTACAGGGGAACACGCCCTGGAAAGTGCTCTTTCAACATAGAAAGTGCCTTCCAAATCCCTTCCGGTTTTTCCTCTCATTTTTCTTTGGCAAGCCACAGTGAGTGAGCATTAATCACTGCAAGTATTAACCATTTCAAATGAGATTACTTTGACGTATATATCACTCCCCTCTTGTTAATTAACTGGAGATTTTAAAAGTATGCAATCCAAGAAAGACTAAAGCACAGGTATTACATGGCATTGTTACAAAAACTACATATAAGATGTTAAAGTCATCAGGCCAAATCATCAAGTAACAAACCTGGAGATAGGGGAGGTTTTTGTGGTGCTGGGATAAGCATCCTACATACATCTATATCTAGCTGTAGTTAGAAATTCTAAAGGTGAAGCTTAATAGAATCTTTCATATCATTCCTCATCTTCTAAAATGCGCTTTTTCTCATTTTTTGTTACCATGTGTCACTTTTTTCTCACCAGAATAATCTTTCCCCACTTCATTGAGAAACAACAAAAAGCTGCTCTTCTTCCTTTAAATACTGATGGCTTCTATGCCATTAGAAGAGCTGACAGACAGTGTAGGGGACAGAGGGACACCAGAGCCCAGTACACTCAGCACTTGCACAAAAGTCAACTGCAAACCTACAGCAGTGACCTCATAATATTTTATTAGAAAGGAAAATCCTCAGAGAATTTCACTGACAAGGGAGTAGTTCCTGTCCTCCACTGATGATCTGGAAAAAAAAATAAAAGGAAAACTAAAGGATCTACTTAAGGTTTAATCTGTTCTGTAGGCCTTTCTGTTCTGCTGTCATTGAATGCAACAGGAAGGTTTCCTCCACCTTCCAGCACCTCACTTCTTTGCACCCCTCAGCTGGGAGAGCAGAGTGTGCTTTGTGCCAGAAAAAGTGAGAAAGTAAAAGTTTATTCAACCAACCCAGTCCTCAGGCAACCAAATCCAGTTCTCAGAGAGTGGGCAACACTTTTATTTGGAAACCTCCCAAGGTGTCTGAGAGATTTTTGCAAGAGGCACAGAGCAAATCAGAGACCTGCAATGCAGGTCACTGTCATGCAAATAAGGATGCCTGTAAAGCCTTGGCAATGCTTTCAAAGGGACACACACTGTAATTGGATGCTCCCTACCCACCCTCTCACAATTACATCAGTGATCTTTCACCTACAATGAATTCAGCAACTAACCTGTAACCAAAAGGAGACAAACCAGCCAGTGACATATATTGCAGAAAGGTAATGCAATGTAACTTTCCCTGGCCAATAAGAGATTAAGAGGGTAAAGCCCTTCAAATTAGCACTTGCTCAGACTTCATTGTTTACAAAAGGGACATAAAGCATGGCCAAAGTAGGTTCACCCAGTCTTTATAAACTCATCACAGGACTTCTGTGTGCTCCATACCATGTTAGTAGCACATTATGACAAGAGGTCCACATCTTGTTCATGCCCAAGTGTGCCAATAAAAAAATGCTGCCTGTAAGAAAAAAGAATTAAACCCCCTCAAAATGTCTCAGAGTGATGATTAATGGCACAGCTGTTTGTTCCAGATCCTGAATTGCTACCAGCAGCCACTTCCCTGCATGGTGCCAGTGGCAGTGGGCGCTCCAGTGACAAGAGTTAAGAAGAGTGATTGATAAAAAGAGTAGGCATTATCCTTAGGTAAGGTACAGCATAGTGAAAAATAGCCTTACAGCATTACTTTTTTAGTAAGAAAGCAGCTGTAAATGTACATTTAATCCAAGTACCTGAGACGTTATTTTGGTTGAATGCATTTCCTAACCTACCCTTTGCAGGAATGCCCCTAGTACCTTCTATCTAAATATCCCAAACTAAACTTTGCATATTCATTTTTGTGTCTCAGATGAAAAGCACCTAAGCCCAGGATGTGAATGTCTTGCCACATTAGGAACCCGGGGCAAGATTCAGAAGAAAGTAATGGAAACACTCACCCACACACTGTGGGATTCAGGGCCAGGCTGTGGAGAGCAGCTCATTCCCAAAGTGAGCATGCAGTACATGAGAAAAGATAAAGATCAGCTGATCCATAAGTCAGAAAGTGAACTTTTCTTGGGGATACTCCTGGGTCTGAGAAATCTAACAAAAATACACTTTATTCTTTATAACTGCCATTGGAACCTTTCTGTGCATAGGCTGTATTTGGCCACAAATGGAGAAAAATCTTCAGTATTAGCCACAGAAAATTTTCTGAGCTATCACTTCCTTTAAAGAACAAACTACACACTCTTCAAATAGAATAAGCCATCAGTTTGATTTGAAGAAGCCTCTTTGTCTGAGTTGGACAGGTGTCAAGAAGCAGATATGATTTGTGAGATGACAGTCAGTGCCCAACCAGACAGAGAGACACCTCACACTACCAACATGAGCCTTTCAGCCTTGGTGCCATCCTGTGAAGCACCAGAGATAATATCAGGATTGAGTGCAAGGGGCAGCAGAGGCAGGAGACAGTACCAAGATGACAAAGGTTTTCAGTCTTGTTCTTTTTCTTTCTTTCAGTTTATTTTTTCAGTTCTTTTTCATTCTTGTTCTTTCAGTCTTGTTCCCCTCTCAGAATTTTCCTATCTCCTTGATTCATTAGAGACTATATTAGATTATCTCTTCAGGATACACTACTACCATAAAACTCACCTTTCCTTCACTCTAACAGAATCTTCCCTTTCCCAAATGAACAGAAGTGGGATATCAGCTAGCAGATCACCCAGCCCACTCTCCAAGCAGAACAACACTTCTGCATCTAACTACACCTTGTGAAAAGAGCATAGTCCCTTTCAAACCCAGCAGCTAAGCTCTGCTGCAGGCATCTTATGGCAGAGGGCTCAAGTTGACCAAAAACTTGCATAAGCTCATCACAGTTCTACAGTCTTCTTCCATTTGGCATTCAGAAGTGAATCAGTGAAAAAACAAAAAATTTTAACTACAAACAAGATGGGTTGAAGACTATGGGAAAGAAGAGATAATGGGTAAAAGAGGATCTGAAAACAGAGAAACCAAACATCAATGCCTGAAAGTTACTTAAATCATTCATTCTCATTATTGCATTACAGGAAAAACAGAATTTTGCAGTTTTTCTCAATGTCAAGAAATTTGAGCTGGATTCTTCAATAAGTCAATTCAAACCCCAAGTAAAAGTGTTTCCCTCAAGAGTTCTCTGCATTTTAGCAAGAGTTCCTAAGAATAAAACCAAATGCATGTATAGTCAGTGTTCTCCCAGAGGGGCTGTCACCTCCTATAGCTACAGGGTCAATAGAACAGGAAGAACCAAGATAACTCTAGGATCAGTGTCAGCAGTGATTAATGGCTGGGAAAGAGCCCAAGGGAATTGTTACATTCCTTCCATGCATTAGTTTCACATACATTACAGATGCTGCCAGCATGTGAGGAGTGCCTGGTGATGCACCATGAGTCACATGGCTCCGTTTGAGACAGTCCTGTGAAGAGCAGAGAGGAACATGATGATCCCTATGGCTCCCACCCAGCTCAAGGGGTTTTATGACTCCAGGAGTGCACAGCACTGTCCCAAGCAGGAGGAGGTGGTTTCATGGACAAAGGCCAACAAACAAGTTATAAAGGCAAGAGGCAGGGATGGCCCCTCTAACATCACTAACCCTGTAATATTGGATTGTTGAGGGGTAGAAGGCAAAGGCTGCAAAATCTGGCCAAGAATGAAGGCAAAAGAGGCTGACCTGAGACACTTCTCTGACCCAGCAAGAAACGCCATACCTTTTTCATATTCATGTACATGTCCATAAAGTTACTGTTCCATTTTACTGTGTGTGAACCAATATGCTGCCTTCCTCTGTTTGGATAATTCACTGTTACAAATATGTACATTTTCCTACTGTACTGGTCATATTCCTGAATAATTATTACATCCCTCATTCCCTCATCCCTCAGACCAACATGTGGTGGGACCAGGGTGGAAGTGGATCTAAATTTGCATAAATACTTTTTTTGTGAAAATCTGTACATTTCACAGAGTATACTCTGCTGTTGTGAGTCCCACAGAATCTTCTGAAGCTGGCTATAGGGCAGCTATCCCCATATTCAGCAGCACTGTAAGAACTTGTCAAAGCAAAAAATCTCACAAATTTGCCAGCAAATAAGTCAAGAGGATGCAGAGCAGGGTGTTTTACTTTTTACCTTTTAAATTTATCAGAATAGTTTGAAACATTTAAGTGGTGTGGATACCTTCCAATCTTACAGCAGTGGTATTTGCTCCTCCTCACCTCTGTAACTACCCATGCACAGGTACAGCTCTCTCTTTAATATAGCCCAGTTTGAGGCACAGATGGCTCCCAAGCCACATATCCTGTCAAATAGACACAAAATTCTCTGGGAACAGAATTTCCTCTATTGATTTTGTGTCAGGCAGACACTAAACTGTAGTTTGGGTCTTGATTCACTGCTGCCTTGGGCAGAGACGGGCCAGGATTATCTGGCTGTTCCTTTAAGGGTGCTGAAAGAAAGCCAGCTGGAGGCCTTTCCAAAGGAGGTGTCAGAGCAAGCTGTAATACCAGAAGAACAGGAAAAAACCCAAACAGAGTCCAGTAGCTGCAATACACACAGGACAACTAGAAGTGAGACTGGGAATACTAAAAGGAGGCTTTTCCCTTGGAAGTAAGAAAGGAAGAGCTCCAGCACAGAAGGTATGATTATATATGAACTTTAGAAATATGAAATCCTGGAATGACAAGGAAAAGTGGGAGGAAAGAAGAGAGCAATCCCATGGGGAGCTGGGGGGCTGTGTTAGGCTGTGTGTAAAAGAGCAGACAGCTCTGGCACCAAAAATTGCTGAAGGAAAAAAGAAACAGAAGATTGTTTTGTTGTAGAACAACACCAAGGCATCCTAAAACATCTTCAAAAGTGAACAAAATCCTAGATTTATAAAAGACAAATTGACCACATGGGATGCCTGAACCAGGAACAAATTGGATCCTTCCCCCTCAAGCTGCAAGGCAGAGCTCTGGTTGTCAGAAGTTTGTAGTTATGAAAGCAGAAAGGAGGGCTTGTACAGCAGCTGCACAGCTGGAGAGGGCTTCACCAAGGGCTGGGGTGTGAGTGGAACACAAACCCCAGAGCAAGTGAGGTGACAAAACCCCAGGGCAGGTGAAGTGACACAATCTCCCACTCCCCAAGGGCAGAGTGGGCTGCCCCTGGGAGCCTCTGCCCTTCCCAGCTCAGCAGCAGTGACAGGCTTTTTCTGCACAACTCCTTATATCAAGTGGGAAAATTCTCACCTGACTTTACCTGCCAGCCTAACACTGGCACCTCAAAGAGCAGAAGTGCATGTTAGAGGTACAGGTCTAGCCCAAAACCCTAAACAGTGCTGACTCACACTCTCGATGCCTTTCTCAGAATCCCAGGAAGCATTCCCATGGCACTGGGGTGCTGCCTGGCTCTCATGATTACCGCGTGGGAGGAGAGCCAGGGGATGTGACTCAGTGAGCACCATCCTGGGCCCAGACTGGTCCTGCCAAAGCCACGCTTGCAGCAGACTGATGTTCCAACAGCTGGGAGGAAGGAGGGGCAGAAACGCTTCCTTCCTGGAGAACTCCGTGTCTCACAGTCCTCCCGAGCTCGTTTTGCCTTGCTGGGGCCACCTTGCCATCTAGTGGTTCACACTGCAGAGCTGACACACAGCTGGGTTCCTTTCTGCTGGAATCCTGTAATGCCCATGCTTTCAGCCCTTTCACACCAAAGGAAGTAATTCAAATGCCCCTGGATCTGCACTTATTTCTTAGTGTGTCAGGCTGTCAGTAAAATGTGCTGTCATAGCATGAAGTTGGAAAAGATGCGTAATGCCTACTGCATTATATATATCATATCCTATAAAAAAGGATCCTCGCCCCATCCAACCTGGAGTGATATACTCATCAGGACATGACTGCTTTGGGTTGAATAGACCTTCTCCACCTTTTACCAAAAAGTTTGTGAAAAAACACTGCTTAATTTTAAAGATTTTTATAAGATTCATTTTTTGCCCAAAAAAAGAAAGAGTTTTCAGGAGGAAAGTAGATAAAAGTCAAAAGCAGAGTGATAGAAATCCCATCTGCTAATATGCAAAGTCCAAAAGGCTCCAAAACATAAACTGCACACATTTAAGATTCTTGACATTGCCTATACTAACATGAATATGGATATTAACTTACTGTCTATTTCCTTTTCCTGTCCCCATTACACCCATTTTGACTTTTCTTTGGGCTCTGTCCAGCAGAGTTGAAAATTTTAATTTATTCCATCACCTCACCTAGTGACAAGAACAAAAATACCTGCTTCATTTCATTTTAGCATGAACTGTTAACTTTCTGTGACCACTTTTATAAATGGAAAATATGATGTCTGTATCCAAAATGGACTTCTCATGCAGATAATCCCAGATGAGAGTCTGGCTTGATATCATTTCTGAATTACTTAGCAGCTCCATCTGCTAGGCTCCAGAGTTATCTTCGTCATTCAACAAGGTGCTTGGCTGTGATCAGTCATGGTGTCAAGGGAAATCTCAGTGCTCAGCTGTCTTCAGCACTTCAATCTAGAAAGGTTTTTCCTGTGTTTATATTGGTCAGTGCAGATGGAATGACAGGGTAGTTTGTCTCCCAGTTAAGGATCTTCAAACTCATTTTTTATGCACTTTCTACAAAGAGAGCAGTAGACAAATGTGAGGAATAACTGCTCACTTTAACATTATAAATAAAATTTATTTTGAACTGTCAACCTCTAAAGAGCACTCCTAGGCATTAGAAACCACAAAATAAAAATCAATTACAAGATTTTTTTGCACTTGCATGGGCAATATCATTATTCTAACAAACTTTATCCTCAGCTTTGCTGCAGAGGCCATGGGCTGCTGGAAGCAAGAGAGAACCAACACCTGGACTTTCCCCACCTTGATTCTATGCCTCTACGGATTCTTCTACATGATGAAACCATCAGAACCTTTCCTAACACCATACCTAATGGGACCAGATAAAAACCTGACCACAGATGAGGTATGATTTTATTCTATGATTTCTTTTAATTGAAGAAGTGAAAATAGAAAGGGAAAACATGGTTTAAAGGTTTTTTTAAAAATTAAAAGGAAAAAAAAGCACAAATGTAATCGGCTCTGGCAGGTTACAATTTGCAGCAAACTGTATAAATAAAAGATCCATTTAATGGATCCAAGATCCATTTGCCTGCCCAACAGTCCCATGCTAATTCAATGTGATTATATATTTCATGAATTCCTTGAGTGAAAAACCTTCCCTCTACATCACCATTTAAAATACATGAGCTTTCTTTCCTCAACAACCAAACCACTGACATTTCTGTTCTAGGTTACCAACCAGATTCTGCCAGTTTGGACATACTCCTACCTGGCTCTCCTTTTCCCAGTGTTCCTGCTCACAGACTATGTGCGCTACAAGCCCGTCCTCCTCCTGCAGGGCATCAGCCTCATCCTCACGTGGCTCCTGCTGCTCTTTGCACATGGCGTGCTGGCCATGCAGCTGGTGGAATTCTCCTATGGCATGGTCACAGCCACCGAGGTGGCCTATTACGCCTACATCTACAGCGTGGTCAGCACCCAACACTACCAGAGGGTCACCAGCTACTGCAGGAGTGCCACTCTGGTGGCAGCCACCGTGGCCGCCGTGCTGGGACAGCTGCTGGTGTCCTTAGCACACGTCTCCTACTTCTACCTCAACGCCATTACCTTGGCTTCCGTGTCCCTGGCATTCCTGTGCGCCTTCTTCCTGCCCATGCCCCAGAGGAGCATGTTCTTCCACAAGAAAGATGCCCCTGAGCCTCTGCCAGGGCCTGGCAAAGGGCTGCCTGCGGGTGCTGCCCGCGGGCCCTGGAGCTGCCAAGAGGAAAGGAGCCCCGATGCTGCTGCCAGGGCCGCGAGCCCCCAGCCCCAGGCTGGCAGGGCCGGGCCCCACAGGCGCGTGCTCAGCGTGCTGCTGCAGCTGGGCAGGGACCTGAGGGATTGCTACGGCTCCCGCAAGCTCCTCTACTGGTCCCTGTGGTGGGCTCTGGCCACGGCCGGCTTTAACCAGGTGGTGAATTATGTGCAGGTGCTGTGGGACTTCCGAGCCCCCTCGCACAGCTCTGCCGTGTACAACGGAGCTGTCGAAGCAATAGCAACATTTCTGAGTAAGTCAGTGCTTAAATATTGATCACAATGAGCTCCTCTGAAGTTTCACTGTAGTAAACTTTCAAAGTGCCATTCCATTGCAGGCGCTCCAGGGAGCCAGTGCACACACACCCTGTGCATTCCAGACCTAGGCCTTTGATGTACAACAGCTCAAATGTGAGCTATTTTGGTTTTTCTTTAGTAGCAAACAATGAACTGCAACTTACCAGTACACAGAAAGTGTGCAAGTCACATAGACACTGCATCTAGCTGGTAAATCCATTCAGAAGCAGCCCTATTTCTTTGGATGAGGCTATTGGGTGGAGGTTATTTTTTTCCACAAAACAATTGTTGCCATGTTTCCATAACAATGCCATCAGCTTACACAGATGGGAGAAGTTTTCATAAAAAATTTTACACAAAAAGAACTTAATCCTCTCATTTAGATTCTTTTTCTAGTGAAATACCCTTATGCAACGAGACAAAAAGAAAAATTTTAGTCTTTGCAAAATACAGATTTTTAGGGAAAAAAGATTCTGTGAATTTGTACAATCTTATTATGAACCATTCCACTTCTGTACCAGGAGCAGATGCTTGCACCACACAAGCAAAGTGAGGTTATCAAAAGGTAACATCAGAGGATACCACCCTGCCTTGGCTCACATTGTGCCGTTGTAAAGAACTTGCACAAGACCTGGGGGTGTGGTTTACCAGGTAAAAGAAACACATCTGCCTCACACCTAGTCATTCAGGTCACCTTTACAGACATTAAGAAGAAACAGAGACTACTTTTGCAGCAGGCAACTAAATAGACCACGTAAATCATGAACTTGAAGACCTCCTGTAGTATCTACTCCTTACTGAATTTCTCTCTCTCGTGGACTTGCCTATTTCTCAGTGTCTAAGTATAGAAGTTTGTAAATTGTCTAGAACCCCTAAGAAGGGCAGTCAGGTGGCTTAACTTTGCAACAGATGCATATTCTAGGAGGCCCACAAAAAACAAACCTATCCTTTCTTGTTCCATGGATATACTTCCTTGATGCCTCAAAACTCATTTTTTTGACAGTTTACCCCCTCTATGAGGTGGACAGAGCTAAACTGTTCAATTGAAGGTTTACTAGCCTAGCTAGGAGAAGGTGGAAGAATTTCCTCCTTGACTCCAAAACATGTTCCTAATTCTCTCCCCAGAGATACATGCTGTGTACAGACACCTAAATAATAAATCCTTCTGCATTACAGTTTATCCTGTGAAGTGGAATAAAACACTAAGAGCAGAATGGCAGAAAATTTATATATGCAGTTGTCTTAAAATGACCAGTCATCTGCACAGCTGCAGAAGGCATCAGAAATGCTTTCAAACTTCAGACTATTCTGCTTCATTATTCAGCATTGCTTTTTGGCATGTGAGTGTGGCAAGACTTGGTCATACAGCTGTGGAACAGATACAATATTTACAAGTATTTTTTTCTCTTTTTCTAGGCTCACTAACATCTTTCCTAGTACAGTATGTGAAGATTAACTGGGACTATTTTGGAGAACTGGCTTTAGGGATCTTCTCTGCAATAGATGCCAGTTGTCTGTTTCTCATGCACTTCTCTACCAGCATCTGGGCATGTTATGCTGGATATCTCATTTTCAAGGCATGCTATATGCTCCTCCTGACAATAGCAACGTAAGTACAAAACATCACAATGCTGCCATCATGCACAGAATACTGACCCTACTTTGAGTTTGCTTTGGGCATCCTTTTCCTCAGAGGTAGCTGACCTAATGCTAGACATAACTGTTTAGGTAAGGACAAGAACACTAAAATGTCTGTTTATGCTGTTTTCATTCTTCCAAACAACCAGGAAAGAAAAATTGTCAAAAGGAAATCGAACATTTACCTAAGCAGAAATTAAACAAGGCACAAGGTAATGTAATTACTAAAGGCAATGGTAACAGCAAAATGTAGAAGCCATTTTCCTCCTTTCCTGGTATAAAAGATGCAAAGTGAACAATAGGGACAAGCATACCTTGACAGCCATCCTTTAGGATCACCATATGCCTAGATCCCCTACTGATAAATCTTTTAGCATGCCATGAACTGCATGAATGCAGGAAAATACTCAATATAAAGTGTTCCTCAACATAATTTTATAGATATAATAATTAATGATATTAAGATGTAAAGAAGGAATAAAAGGGAACATAGGATATATAAACTCAGATATGATCTCATAGGAGACCAAGCTATTCTGTTGTCAGAAATAGAAATGTATAAATAATATTAACAACAAATATTTTATCCTGTGTATTAAATATAAAATGTTATTGCTCCAGTCATTTTCTTGTTTGGAATGTCTTTAGACATACCACACTATTTCATTAGCAAAAATACTGCATGCATTTTGTGTCAAACACCAAAATTAATCTGATACAGTTTTAAAAAATTGCTAACATTATTATGCATGGCAAGATTATGCCTATCTTGAAAGAAGCATATGAGCTCTTATTCGTCATTTTGGTAGACTGTTATTACATTTTAGTTAATTACACCTGGACTATTTAAATATATTCTAAAATAAACCCAACAAAGCAAAATCTTGCAAAAATCTCCCAAGCTAAAGTCATTGAAAATGAGTCCTGAAGGAATAACACCCTTTTGTTTGTATAGAAACTTTGCAGGTATATATTGCAAAGAAAGATGTTCTGATTATTGTCATAAAAGATATTGTCATAAAAGTATAAATCTACAGGCTCTTGACAGAAATAAGCAGCATGCTACCTCCACTGTCAAATCACAAAGCAAAATGTGACTCATCACCACAGAAAGCTTGGTTAGAAGATACCCAGAGCAACCTCCCAGCCAGGGCAGAATTGCTTCCAGTGTCAGCTTCTAGCCATGGACTCTGTACAGCCTGTCTGGCACAGTCTATGCAGGCAGAGAAGGAACATAGTGGAAGGGTATAGATAACATAAATTCTACCTGATCAGCTGAAAGCAGGGGCTAGAAAAGCAGCCCATGCAGTTAAAAAAAAAAAAACATTAAAATACACTATGGTACCCCAGACTTTTTTTTTTTTTTTTTTGAGAAAGCAAGGAAGCAAACAAACAAATGAAGCACCATTTCCTCTGTCCTTGATGCACCATCTCCATGAATCATTATCTCTTCATCAACTGCTAGACAGCAATAGATTTCCCAGTGGGAGGTGACTGACGTGCCAGTTTCCCCTTAGGTTCCAGATCGCTGTCAATCTGAGCATGGAACGCTATGCCCTGATGTTTGGGTTCAACAACTTCATTGCCCTGCTGATCCAGACCAGTCTCACAATAGCTGTGGTAGATTCAAGAGGCCTGGGACTGGACATAGTGACTCAAGTAAGTGAGTTACCTTACTACCTGTTTACTGCTCAGCCAAATAATCTTCAAAATTCCTATGCCAAAGGACAACTTAATTCTCTTTATTCTATAGAAATCCAGAAATCGTGTTCTTCCCTTGTCATTCTTCATCACTGTTTGTCGTCATTCTTTCCTTTTGCCTTTTAATGCATTTAGGATTACAGATGCTGGTCTGTTACTTTTCAAAGGGAGATACACCAGAACATAACTAACCAGGCCCTGCTATCCAACCAGTTTTAGTAGTTAATAGGACACCATCCTTTCTCTTCCTGAAAGCTCAGACTGGTTTTGTCAGATGCAGAATGGGAGTTCAGGACTATGAGGCACAGTCTGGATTATTTGATTTATTTCAGCTCAAGTAACTTCGAATTCCAGCGCAGGAACAAACCTGTTCTGTATCTCAGCATGTACAATAGAGTCTTCCGCCCACAGCTTGGGCACTTTATTGGGATGGGACATCCTATCTTACAACAGTGTCCCTAACTTCAACCCAATGTCACTCATGTTGAAGTCAACTGAAACCCACTGACTTCTGCCATTTTCTCTGATGGGCTCTCAGCTGGGGCAGCTTTTCTACTCTAATGGGTCTGAAAAAGACTAAAGCTATTCACAGTCTGCACAGAGAAGGCAAAAGTAACTTTGAGAGAGTAAAGATCAAATCAAACATTAAATCTTTAAAATTAAGAACAGGAATATGTAGGACTTCATAAATAGCCTTGCCACTGTTGTTGGAAATAGTGATATAAAATCAACAGTATATTTACTGAAACCATCGTGGTGACAGTTACTGAAATGTGCAAAAGCAAAACAAGAAGTCAGTTTCTTCACAAGGATTATTCATAACAATGTGGGTAATGAAGGTACTTCTACATTTTTCACTAATAGAAAAAATATCCTGTTCTTATCCCTGTCTGATGTTTATTAAGAGGCATAAGGAATGGAAGAAAGGGGCAGTTCTTCACAATTATCTGCTGTGTACCTTGAAAAGGCAAAAATTCAAGTGTAGAGAAACTGCCAGAACACAAGAAAATCAGAGTGACTGTCATCTTCAGAAGAAGCAGCATTTCTCTAGTGTGTCTTTCATTAATTGTTCTGCCTTTTTCTCCTCCTCTCCCAGTTTTTAATTTATGGCAGCTACTTCGCAGTCATACATGGGATTTTCATGATCAGAAGCATTTGTGTGCTGGTCTCATGCAAATGCCAAAGAAATATAGAGAGATCTTGCCCAGAACAGCTGAACCAGGCTGAGCACGAGTCCTGGAAGAAGGGCTCCCAGCAGGGAAGAAGAGCAGCATGCAGGGAACAGTAGTGCAAGAAGAACGTTCAACTGAGCCCTGAAAAGCTATGCTGAATCATTCCAGCACTTCAGCACAACATATGCCAGCAGAGAGCTCACCAGAACAGCACTGTGCCAAGAATAAAAGATAAGTTGCTTTAGATTCTTATTTACATGCATATAAATAGCTTAAAGGCAGTAATTTATACACAGAATCAGAGCAACCACCTTTGCATCCCCCGTGCATGATGGCAGGGGGCAGAGTTCACCCTGCCTTGCTCATTGTAGCTCCTGAACGTGCTGCTGACAAAGCTGCTTCTGTCACATTTGCTGATGCAGTGGCTGAAGGTGCGACTCCCCTTTGCACAGCCCTTGTTCTGAACCAAGGAAGAAAAGATCATGTTTGCATCACTCTATTCTTTCATACTCAGTACAGGCAGATGGGGGACAGACTCCTCCTGTCTCATCCCACAGCTCAGAGCACACAGGCTGCAAAAATCTGGGCTTGCACAACCCATCCTGGGAGCTTCACTGCAACACTGCTACATCACAGTTGTTGCTTGGCCCACATTTGAGAGCTACAAACACTGTGCTGACTTCACAGCAATCTCTGCCGAGAAGGGAATTCAGAGAACAAGTAAAAGGCAAGAGAACCACTCCTTTGCTTGTGCTTTCAGTAAAATTAAATTCAGGACTGATTGTCTTCCTCTTTCAGCAGGAAAATAAATAATATGAAGGGGCTTAAGTAACACAGCCTAAAACCAGAGAAGGACATTGTGGAGAAATTTAGCTGATTCCACAAAGGAAAATTCCAGATTAACAGGAATATCCAAGAAGATTTATAACTGAAACAGTGAGCATCACATGCTTTTGAGTGCCGAGTGAGGGAAGTCCACTGATCTTAGCCAAGAATTTGGCAGGATCAGCCAAACTCAGAGTTTGTCAAGAAGCTCCAAGTCCTACAGCTAATTTTGTCCAAAAGACAGTCCAGGAGAAGAAAAAAAGAGACTAGAAATGAGTTTGCATAGTGAATGTATAATTTAATATGAACTATATCCATATGCTGAAGTTATTTCTGTAGTGCTGTTTGCTTCTAGCTTCCAATATCTACATCTAACTAATAAAAACCACTTAGCATTTACAGAATATTTTTCCTGTAGAGACACAAGCTATCATTTGTACAGACCAGCTTTTCATATCACTGTCACACACTGCAACTAGACAAAGTGCTCAGAGGCAAGGGCAGACAGGACAGAATCAATTTGTTTCAAGTCCCTAGAAGAATCAGTAGGATCTGACAAAATGAACCTGGCTAATTTTTTAGGCCTTTTGTTTACCACTGTGCATTGTGGGGACATTGCTGTAAACCAGCTCTAAGGAGAACAGTTTAACCATTGCAGTCATCAAAGTGGGAGATTCACTTAGTTTCCAGTGAGAGTTCTTTTCTTGCTGCAGAACTGAGGGCATGATGCTCCTGCCTGAAGAAATAAGGACAGAATACAAGAGAGCAAGGACTACTTTTTCTATTCTTTAAGAATAAGCAAGAATAAGTAGCAATCTTCTTTTGAGGCACTCAGTTTAGAACTAGATGTCAGTCCCAGACTAGAAGTTAACAGGAGCTTGTGTTTAAATTAAAAAGAGGAACTTCATATTTTCAGCTTCATTCTTACGTTCTGGCTAGAGCTAACTCTATGTCTGTAGGATGCCACTGAGAAGCAAAGAAACAGAGCAGACACAATGTATTTAGCTTGCAGCTTTAGAGAAAACCATATTAAGAAAACTATCTGTTTTCTTTAAAGACTTTAAATAAAAATGAATCAATTCCTATTCTCTCTAAGCTCCAAAATAATGATTCTGACATTGGAAGCTGGCAGGAAGCATTATGGGGGGAATAGGGGAAGAAGAAAGCAGCCCTTGGGAGTGTTAGGAGGAGAAAGACAAGGCCTTGCTATCCTGGGTTTTCAGCTGAAAATCAGAACTCACCCAGCAATCAGAGGTTTCTACAAGAGTTAAGATATACAGATGCACCTGTGTGTTTGTGTACTTGCACACACAAACTCTGGAGAGGAAATAGTTGAGACCTGGCAGGTTACAAGGAAATCTGTAACCACAGACTGTTTAGTTCTGCAGGAAAAGGACATTCTCAAAACATCCACCCCTCCTAGCAGCTTTTAGTATGGCTTGTTTTAATTCCAGTGTGTTAAAGGCTTCCATGCAAACATGGAACTCCAGAGCTGGGCACATTCCTCCCCATAGCTGAAACCCCCTCTAAATACACCACTAATTACCTTTGAAACATTGGTGGGTTTGGGCACAAATCTTCCATGAAGATACAGTCCAACAATCTGATATGGCCAGTTTGAGCAAACAAGGAAGGAACAAATAGTGTGTTTGTATTCAAAACATGCAGGTGCTGCCCAAGCACTGTGTGGGCTACCACAGAAACATGAGCCAGCAGCCCTTTCAGCCCCTGCCCAGCAGCACCTTCTCTTCCCAAGGCTCTTTCCCTGCCTCAGAAGCGCTTGGCCAGGGAGGAGGATGAAGGGCAGAGGCAGGCCTGGCTCCCCCGAGCACTTCCTGCCTGCTTGCACCACACCTCAGCACTGAGGGAATCTCCCATACCTGCAGGACCAGACCAGGCTCTGTAGAGCTCACAAAGGGCCCTCCAGCATCTGCTCCCATGGTCAACACACATGCTACCAACAGCTTCAGGGTGAACTCCAGCCTCTGATGAACCTTGGAAGATGCAGGCAGTACACTCTAAAAAAATGGGTAAAGGAAAGAAAAGCGCAACATTTCTCTGAAGCAAGCCTGTTAATTTTTTAGCTTGGAACCTAGATTTAGCAATTTAATTTTGCTCATTTGTCCTTAAATGACAGATCTGTCATCATACAGAAGTAGTTCCTGGCCAATTAATAGTACGAAGCATGTGCTGTCCTACCTCCCAAAGCCCCAGCAAAGCCAGGACAGTCAGAGCACACCCCACGAGCCCAGTGGCTTCTGTGCTCTGCATGGGACAAGGACACTGTTAGCACAAACTGTAAAACTGGTTATCTGCCTTGCCATGAATCAGAGACCAGAGCTCTTAAAGATATTTATTAACAGAAAGAATGCAATCATTGCTTTCTTGTCACAACAGGTTTTATTAATCATTAGCTGCACTAAGTCTTATAGTTTTATCTTAAAAATAGAACTCAGTTTGCTGACAAAATCCATAAAGAACACTTTCTCTGCAATCTTCATGGACAAGTTCTGCAAGAACAGCTATGACAAGTTGTTACTATTATTATTTAAATTCTGATAACATTTTATCAAGTTTAGAAATAACTTCTTGGAAAAAAGTTACAGAAATTTCTGACTACCACCAGCTCAAAAGGGTGGTTTTCTGACTTCTCTGCAAGACAAAGCCATCATAGGAAGAACTGCACCTGAATCCACAGGAAATGCACCACAGCCAGAGCCCTGACAGGTAATTCATCACTGTTGGAATTATTCAGGAGTGTGCTAGCTACTCACTTGCTCAGTGCATTTGGAGGTGATGCAAGATTTCTGCAGATGTTACTGATAAGCCCAGGGCTTAATTTTTATATTTTTAATCACATTTAAAACAAGGTCTTGAGTTAAAGATACTAGAGACTATATTTTATTTACAATTATTTGTAAGAGAAAGATGACAGAGGCAATTTATAAAAATCACGTTACAAGGTAAGGGCTGTTTTTTCTAACATTCCTCTGAGATCACAAAAATATTGTCTTTATAACATACAATTTATATTAAGTTTTAATGGATATCATCTCACGGTGCAAGCAAAAGCCCTTTTTCAAAAGTGCCTGCTATAGAGTGGAATTCAGCAATTTAAGATACACAGCTTGTAGCAGCATGATTAAACATCAGCTAGTGCTTTGCTTTCATTTGCTTATGATTGAAAACACTGTTTCACTTATTTTCAGGATCAGTGAAATTGACTTTTTAACACAAAAGTAGTAAAATAAACTTTAAAACCCAAATCTTTCTAGACTTCTTTTTGCTGCCAACTACACAGAAGAAACAAGCCTGCTTTTCCTTTTCGTTGTCACTTTCAAAAGTGAAGTCAATAGTTTTCTATTCTAAGTCTAAGCAGGTACCATGAGCAGACTGTATCTGGATCTTTCTTTATTCTCTCCAGTGACTCGAATGCAAGAAACATGGTTAGTGTTAAAGCATTTTAAGGAAACTGAGGTCACAATGGGTTGAGCTGCCTGATGGCTTTTATTGCCATCAAGAAAGTTTGCATGGTCATTAAGTCAAATCAACAAAAAAATCAAACAGATTTGCAAATCAACAGAAAAAAACCTCCTTAAGCACACAGAATGAGCTTTAATCTCACACATAGCTCATTCATAAATTCAGAAATGAGACTGTAATGGAACTTTATTCTGCTACAGCACAGCCACTCAGCCCTAAGCACGTTACTATGAACAACCTTTGACAGACAATACAGAGTTTACCAGGGCTGATGCACCTTGATCCAGTTGCCCATTTCCAAGCTACAGCTGTGATGCCAGGAAGGTTCCAAGAAGGGAACCTGGCTTAGGCACGTGGCACAGCTGGAGCCATGCACTTCACTCACCAGACAGAAGCAACAATGCCCTTTATCAATATAACAAAGTTCAGTGGTAGATGTGACAGCGCTTTAACAAGACTCAACAGGATAGTGTGCTTGACTTAGTGCAGAGATGACAAGATCAGGTAAAACTGTCAGAGACCCTCCTACTAAGTCACTGGGTTCCAAACTCCTCTCAGAGAGGAGCCTGGGTGCAGCTTAGACCCACTCCTGGTCCCCGATTTGGTCATCCTTCCACCTAAAGGATTACACAATACCTGCAATAAGTTCTTTATATGACTTAGCCAAGGTTCCGAGGCGGAGCACACCGTTAGTCACTTACCAAGACTGGGCTGCAGCAAAGAATCTCAGCCTCAGGAGTAACTGCCAGAGGTGTCCCAGCCTAACAGGAGATCCAGGCGTGCAGCTCAGTGCAGGAGAGCTTGAGATCAGTGGTTTGGTTACATTTGCACATGCGGGCCACACTGCCACCCATCCCCCTAAGTACAGTTACACTGGGTGCCACCACCACAGCCCTCACTGGTGGTTGTAGCTTCAGGGGACTAAGTGTAGGTTTAGTTAAAAAGTAAACCTGAAAATGAATTTTTACCAGCTGTGAAGAGCATCTATTCTTCCTTTGTCACCTTTTTTTTATTTGTTTAGATAAATTATGGATTGCTGGAAGGGAGCTGTAAGCCACAGCTGGATTTATCCCACGGTGATCATCTGTGCAAATGGATTTTTCACCACAATGAGGCCATCAGAATCTTTTCTCACCCCCTATCTAACAGGGCCAGACAAAAACCTAACGGCTGAAGAGGTATGTAACTATTCTCTTAAGCAGTAACTAAAATGCTTAAAGCATTAGGCCTTACAGCAGCAACTGAAGGGAAGATGAAGTGTGAATATTTTATCTAAAGGTCCATATTTAAGATGCTTCTGGAAAAGAGTACTCTTTGGCAGGGGGTCCAAACTTTAAAATCCCTACATTCCTAGGACTTTGAAACCCCTCTGGTGGTTGATATTTTTGGCAAAATCAGGCTGGTTGGCAAAAAGAGGCTAGTTCCTCTCTCCACCACAGAAGAGACAATTATTTATACTTACCATGGAATTGATTACACTGACAGAATTTAAAAACATAAGAAAGCTAAGCAGCCTTGCCAGCTAAGCAGCCTTCCCCTTAGGAGTTGTAAGCTTATTTCCTATATTCCCTGTAATTCATGCATTCATTAACCTGTGGACATCAGGTTCATGTTCAGAAACATTGGGGTTTTTTGACAAAAACACGCACTCCAAGCTTCCTTGCTATGCTCCTATGTTCAACACTGGCTGCTTCAGGAGTACACCTCCCAACAAAAGGGGACATGGTTAACACGTGGCTGAGTCATGGAGCTAATGGTATAATTAGAAAACACAGGCTTGCTACACCCACATACTGCTAATATGAAGAACAGTCATTCCTGATGTGCAGTAGCAAATGTTAAGGCAGAATCTACCAGCACACTGTGAACCCAAGGTTTCTGCTGAAAAAAGGTATTTGTGGTTTAGGTAGTCAAGGAGTTTTTTCTCCCCGCTTTTAATTCTTTTAAGCACAAATGAAAGCATTGTATCTTATATAAATCACACAGATAGCATCACAGAATACCTTAGTTCTGATTTCAGCAAGAATCCTTAACTCAAAATCAAGCACAGTACAGATATTATCTCTTTCAGTCAAACTCACATCCAGTGAGTTAATTCCATGAGGTAATTCTAAATTCAGAGAAACAAAATAAGTCACACAGAAAGGTACAGTGAACCTGCAGCTCACCATGCAACTCATTCCAGTACCTGTTCAGAAGTAAAAAGCATTCCTCCAGCATTTAATACAGTTCCTTTCTAGTCTAATTACTTAGGCAGAGAACAAGATATCAGGTATGGATACCTCAGCAAGCTCCACAATTACTGGGCAAGATCTCCCCAAGACACACGACGTAGAGTCACAGAAGAAGGTCACTTTGTGATGTACATGTAAAAGGGATACATGCCCCAGGTGTGCCCAAACTGTCTGGGCAAGAACTGAGCTTTAGTGGCAACCACAAACAGCACCTTCCAACCCAAACACAGAACAATTAATAAAAAAAAGATAAATAATTCCTTCACAAGGCATCTATGCATTGAACTCCAACTTACTGAAAGACTTCCTTACTTCTTACGCTTTAAATCAGAAAAAAGCATAGATGATGCAATACCTTAGTAGCAG